GCTCGACCACGTGCTGGTTGCAGTAGATGCGATCTAGTCTGGAACGCGAGCGCGTGGAGGCAAACGTCATCTCCGCCTGGCGCATCTCCTGTAGCTCGAGCGCCTGGAAATGTCGCCCCTCACGCTCATCTCTACTGCCACTGGCCTCTGCCCCGCCGCAGGCGCGCCTGTCCGCAGCCTCCATGACCCAGTTGAAGTCGCCGCCGAGGACGCTCAACACCTGGCCGGAGTTGGCAACATGGCGGGCCAGCCGGTCCCGAAGCAGCGCTCGGAGGGCAGGGGCGGAGGAGCAGCGCGAAAGCTGCGTGTCGGGGACTCCGCACAGGTCCGCCTCTGTCACCGTCGCGCCAGAGTGGAAGCAGCAAACGATTAGATCGAGCGCACCCCCCCGACCCCGCAGTCGAAGCCGCCCAGCGCGTCCAGGCCGCAAGACCTGCCGGGAGACCTCGTCGAAGTGCTCCAATAACAAGTCCTTAACTACGACGCCGATGCCGGCGTGGGCCGCGGACGGGCCCGCCGACCACCAAGAGGAACAGCCTCGTGGAGCCTGCCATGCTCTATGTTGTCAGGCGCATCCGTGGGCCTCCGAAATGAGGGCGGCATCGCCGCGGGCCAAGAGGGAGCGGAGGTATCGCTCCTCCAGAGCCACCACTGTCAATTCCCGCCTGAGCATTCCAAGCCACCACTGCCAAATCCCCCCGATACTGCCCCGGGCGGCGAAGCTGCTCAGCCGCCAGCGCCGCAGGGGTCGTCCTGCCAGGAAGCAGTGCACGCTGGCGCGGAAGAAGGCCTGGAGCACGGAGCAGCCGTTGGCGTCGGTAGATATGGACAGGCACGTCGTCGAAACGCATCTCGTTGGTGGCCTCGGGGAGCACGTCCGCTGCCCCATGCACGAAAGGGGGCAAGTCCGGGAGCAGCCGCAAGTCAAACGAGGGCGAGGGCCCAGGCACACTGACACTCGGGCTCGCAGACGAATCCACTAAAAGTGGAAAACACGATGGAGAAGAAGAACATGAAGAAGAAAAGCTCGTCAAATTCAGGGTAGTCGATGCCACGAACGGCTGGGCTAAGTCCTCCGCCCGTCCAGCGTCGTCACGGTAACGCCTGCCCGCCCCCGCCTCGACGGGGAGGAGCAGGAGCACGATGTCGAGCAGCCAGCCCGCGGAGCCATCCATAGCCCAGAACTGAGTTCCGCCATGCATGTAGTCGCCCCTATCCAGGCCTAGTCATAGAGGGAGCCTCCCGCTCGCCCCTGGCACCCCCTTCGCGTCCAAGAGATCGTTGGCAATGCGGAACCCGACGAGGTCTGTGCCGACCTGGATCGACTGCCCTTGGATAGCTGCACGCACCTTGCGGACCGCCTCCAAGTCAGGGAGGTACAATCGCAGGCGCCCCGGAGGTGCGTCCAAGTCCGCCCGCGCGAGGTGGACGAACTCCCCGGTCCGCGGTGGGGCTGAATAGTCCGTCTCGCGCAAGTCCAACCCGGCGTGCGTGCACACATGCCGCATCAACAGCCTCAGCGCCTCCCCGTCCTCCTTCCCCAGCTCTCCCATAGCGATCAGCTCGGTGACGTAGTCGCGGTCGGAAGAGGGGCGCGTGCCACGACGGCGACTGGCTGCCAGGGCCTGCGGGGTCGCCGATGGGATGGCGATGGTGTGCCCTCCATTGCGGGAGGCCTTCCAGCGCAGCTTGAAGGCCGTCTCCGTGGTGTCGTCGCGGAGGATGCTGTCCATGGCCCCAGTCCAACGCGCGGGCTCCGCATCGGTGAGGACCAGCAGGCGGGTCCGCGAAAGAGCCAGGAGCTGCGTACACATTGGCCAGAAACGCGCGATGTTGCGCGTGGTGCTGACCTCGAGTATCGCTGCCTCCGCTGCCGTGTAGATACGCTGGTCCGCCCAAAAAGCATCAGCAGGCAGGCCAAGATGCTGGAAGTACATCTGGACCTGCAGGTCGGAGAACTCCACAGGGAGGAGCACCTCCAGGCACATGCGTGGCTGCATCTCCGACGACAGGGGGCTGCGGCGGTGCTGGCGGATGGTATTGCGAACCCCGTACGTCCTGCCGTGCTCCACCAATCGCGAAAACACGGAAGGCAAGCTGTCCGCCGCCACATCCAAGGTGACGGAGCGAACCGCCGCGAACTGGGCCAGAGGCGCATGGGGAAGGTAGAGCTGCGGAGCCACGCGAGGACCATCCCGACTGAGGTGAAACACTGCCAAACCAGCGTGGCCAAGCCGAGGGCCGGAGGGGCCACTGCTGATCCACTCCATGGGCAGCGGGGTCAGCCAGACCTGCCTCACTATGGGGGCCCACTTCGCCGCCAACAAGGGATGCGTCCAGAGGTCGGCCACCTGGGCGAACGAGTGCATGTGCGGCATCAACTCGACTGTGGTCACCATGCGGAGGCAGCGCGGCCACTCCGCAGCTGGGCGGCGCAGCAAGGCGCATAGTACCCGGCTGAGGGCGTTGAAGTCCTCAGGCGCCCAGAGCACGATGTGCTTGTCGGTGCGCCACGCCCTTTTCCGCCAGCGTCGCAACGCCCCGCGAGTCCGCGACCAAGGAGTCGGAGATCGCCTCCTGGCACAGCAAGTTGGACCACTGCGTAAGAATGATCGGCGACGCACCGCCCGCCAGCGGTGTGGCTAGCAGGCGGAGTGCGTCCGCACCCAACTCCTTGTGCAACGGCATGTCGGTGGTGCGGAGGCGCCGCCGTTGCCGCAAACCTCTGGGAGCTCGTTCTCGCACAGCCGGGCTGCCGACTGGAGCCGCTCGGTGAAGGTCTGGACCTCCTCGAAGTCATCGGCATTCCATTGGCCCTGCCCCGAGAGCGAAGTCAAAAGGAGAGCCGCACGCTTCCGCGCAGAGATAAGCGTGAGGGACGGGGGGGAGCCCGCCAGCATAGACAGCCCCAGCCGCTGCCAGTGGTCTGCACCAGGGGCTGTGTTGTAGGCGAGCTTACGCAGGAGGGTCTGCAAGCCCGGCCAGCCAGTCGGGAACTCCACAGCCACCTGCGCCTCGGCACTGCCCCGCGGGTGAGCCGCCAAGATCAACTCGACATGCTGGAGGACCTCCTGGTCGATGAACGTCGTGAGCATGTCCAGGGGCAGGAGGGCAGGCGTAGTCGAAGTGGAAGGGGGGGGTGCTGGAGCCGGAGGCGCCGCAGGCGTCCTGGCGAGGCTCGCGTTGTCGTCCTCAATCTGCAAGGCGCCCATGCCCTGGGTGGCGCCAGAGCCATCGACTTCGACGTCCATGCTCTCTGTCGGTGTGCCCCAAAGCGGGAAGCCCCGGCGGCAGCGGCGGCCCGGCCGCCGCTGCGGCGGCAGCAGCGGCAGCGGCGCCGGGTAGCGTCTGGCCGCAGCGCCGGCATCGGCCCTGCTCGTCGGCCAGGGCCGGAAGCGCTCCGAAGAGCGGGCAGGCCGCATGTGTGCAAGCCATCACAAGCAGAAAGGGGAGTAACAAAGGGATGGAAGTCGAGACGATTAGGATGGAACGGCGACGGCCCACCCTTGGCAGGGCTCCTGGTCGGGTTGTCGCAGCTTTGAGCTGTGCCCCATTACTTTCTCCTCCCACCGCGAGTTTGGGCCCTCCCCCTCCCCTCCGATCGCATCCCATCCCGAACTCTCATCCCACCTTGTTGCGCCCGTGTTCTGGGAAAGCCTCTCCCGAGCACGGTCTGATTCCAAGAGCTCCCTACCCCATCGTGCTGCGCCCGCTGCCGTTCTCAGCTCGGGCGTTTTGGCCGCCCACGCGTTGCTCATAGCGACCAGAGCGGACCGCCATGCCGAGCTGCAGGAAAGAGGAGGCTCTCTCTTAGTCCGCTTAGTGTTTCCTCCCTCCCCCTGACCTCTTCCCCCCCTTCCTCCCAGTCTGCACATCCTCCTGTCTCCATCCCAATCCCCGACACTGGAGTCCAGTTTAAATACCTGCCAACCACTGTGTGCATTGTGCTTGGGGGTGGCTGCATCCGACCCACGATCTCCTTTTTTAAGTCTGATATGGGGGGTTGGTGACTTCTACGCTTAAGCCCAGCATCGTTCCTTGAGGGGCGAATGTGAGGGGAGACCCACTCCCACCACCACGGCTTGAGCTTTGAATGAATGGAGAATGGGATGCTCCCAGGACTCTGGCCCAGGGTTCTCCCCAGGAGACAGAAAGAGAGAGAGAGAGAGGGAGAGATTTGTTTCCTAACGGGTTGCTGTGGAACAGATGCAGAATAAACAATGTTTCTGTACGTGACCCTATCGGCCACGTGGCTGGGACAACAAACGGCCCCAAAGGGATCCAAAATCGACGGGCTGGCACCCTCCAGGCCAGCGCCGCACGAGACGGGAGGAGGCGAAGGGGGAGGAAGAGGAGGACGAGGGGGACTAGGAGGAGTGAGCACCAGCCGCCGCCTCTGAGCACCCGGCCCCCACGATGCAAGTGAAAACTGCCAGCTTCCCCATCGATGGGGCGGGAATGCGTTCAAGCTAAAATTTGCCAGTGCGGAGGAGGTCAAGACTAAACTGTACTAGCCGGAGGAGGCAGAGAGAGAGAGAGAGAAAAAAACAACAACGAAAAAGAGAAAGAGAAAGAGAGAGAGAGAGAGAGAGGCGGACCGGGGGCCAGGAGGATTCATTGCTGTGTGGTGCCGCTTCGCGACCTGCCCACCTCCATTCCCCAGCTCCCTCCATCCGCCTACTCCCACGCGCCACCCCCCTGGCCCCAGCAATCAAGGGAGGGAAAACCACCCTGACCGGACAATTGGCGTTTACTAAACGGCCTTGGGCGTTTACTAAACAGCCCTGCCCTGTGCGATTCCTTCAGTGGGGGCGTTTAGTAAACGGCTTCGCGTGTCGGGGTGGTTCTTATGGGGGTCGATTTTTTGCCCTCTGAGGAAGTCGCCACGACGACGACGCCTGCGCGCGGGCCGCCGCGACGGCACGCCGCGCGCGAGGCCCTTCAAGAGCGCGCGCAGGCCCCCGGACCCCGAGGGGCGCCGCGGCGGCCGAGGCCCCCGCCGGCGCGCCAGGCCGAGCAGCGCCGCCGCCGCGGCCGCGGTGCCCAGCAGCGCGACCACCAGGAGCGCGGGGGCGGCGCCCGCGGCCGCCTGGGGCGGGCGGCGGCGGCGGCGGCGGCGACAGCGGCGCCTCAGTCAGCGACGGCGGCGGCGGCGGCCGACGGCGACGACGGCGGCGCTGGCGGCGGCGGCGGTGACGACGGCGACGGCGGCGGCGGCGGCGAGGCGCCGACGACGGCAGCGGCGACAACAACAGCGACGGCGACGGCGACCCAGCCTCAGGTGCAGGATAGAACAGCATCGGAAGGCCGGATCGAATCGGGCCAGAACCTGCATAGACTGGGGCTGCATCGGCACAGAATCGAAGCCGAATCGAATCGGCCGTGCCATGATACACGACTGAACCGTGCAAGCATCGGGCAACATCGGATCGTCTGCAAATGACTCGAAGTCCCTCGTCATCCTCCGCCTTCTCCTCCTCCTCCTGATCATCTTACTCTTCCACCCCCCACCTCTCCGTTCTCCTCCTCCGTACGAAGTGGCACGTGCAGTTGAAACGTCCAACGCGCCTAAAGTAGATTCACCTTGTACTTTCTACCACAGTGGGCAGCCACGACTGGAGGGCAAGCATGGTACGAAGAGTCGTTGCAATGCAAACCCGGGGGATGAAAAAGATAAGGGAGAGTTGGGGTAAGGAGGGGACGAGGGCATGGATAGAACAAACAAAGAGAGGGAGAGAAACGGGAGGCGATGATTGAAGTGGAGAGGGAGAACGAGAGGGATGAAAAACGCGCGGAAAGGGGCGAAAAAGAAAGGGGAGCGGGAGTGAGCCGTACGGGATGAGATCGTGGCACAACAAAGTAGCATTGTGGGGGCGCCTTGCGCAGAGAACCGCCCCTCTCGTCGTCCCTTCTCATGATGGCCATGACCGTCACAGGGCACACGGCGGCGAAATCGATGCAGCAGTTGCCGTACTGCCTCTGGGCAGACTTGCCGGCAGGATGGGCGGCGATGCAGCAGTACTGCCGATTACGTCTGCACCCCCGCCACCCCCTGGGTAAGGTCGCGATACAGAAGGGGGTAGATCATGGACAGCTCGAAGACGGCTCCGGTCAACCCTCCATGCTTGCGATCATCGTCCCAGGCCCCATGTGCTCAGCTCGCGCCTGGTCCTCCTCCTCCTCCTCCTCCTCCTCCTCCTGCCTCCTCCAGCTCCTGCTGCTCTTGATTCCCCCCCTTCCTCCTATCGCCACATCTCAAGCTCGACACGTACTGCATAGACGCTCGTCTTCAATGTCACTTTCGAAGATGTTCGCAAGGCCCGTCGCTTACCTTTTCACTGCGATCGCTTGGCAATGCTCGAAAAAAACGCGAAACATGCGGATCCACACTTACTCTCGTTTGGCACACTGGCCTCCCGCTTACCCCCAAAGCCCACACGCCCATCCAAAACGTGAAGAACCCACGAAACCGTCAGAGAACTCGAGGCAGATTTTCTCCCCTGACTGGTTAGCGACTGCGTTTGGGGTCCCACTCGCATGGCAAGACCACCTCTGATCTCTGCAGTGCGAAACGCGTGCCGCCCGTGAGCCGTGCCGCTCCGTGCCCGAGTGCCCGCTCGCCGTGCCGCGCCCGCGTTCTAGAGTGCAGAAAGAAATCTGCCGCCTGCGCGCCGTGCCCGCGCGCTGCGTCGTGCCCACCTGCTGTGCCGTGCCCGCGCTGTTCAAAGGGGCCCTGGGACAAGCAAATAAATAGGCACAAATCCCAGGTTCCCCCATATGTTCTCGTATTTTCTGGGTGCTCGTCTTCCCCCCCACTTCCCGCAATTTCCCATATTCTCTGGGGAATCGACGATGCCGTGCCCGCGCGGTGCGCCGGACGGGGTCTCCTCTCGCACGGCCTCCCCGCAGGGACCGGGGCACCACAGCGGGCGGCGGTGCAGCGTGCGGCGTGGTGCGCGGGGGCCAGAGCTCCAGAAGTCAGGAGGCAACCACTGGGAGGCTTCCGTCGGGAAGATTGAAGAGTATTAAGCCCCATTGGGGGGCTGTTATGCCAGAGTGGGCCTCGGATTAAGCCGGATTAAGCGGGATTAAGCGGCATCAAGCCGGATTAAGCGGGGTCGAGCCGGATGAAGCCGGAGTTCGGACCAGGGCAAAAACAGAATTTGACCTCCCAGGAGTTGCATCCGAACAGAGGGCCCCTGCGTCGGACGCCAACAGCACTGGAAATGACTCGCGTACGTCGACGGTTCCCACAGGGTCGCCAGGCCTAATCAAAATGCACCCGCTGGCCTCACGACGGCCTCTGGGCCGCTCCGCACAGCGGTCCAAGTGACATCGCCTGCTGCCCTCCGAATTGCAGTGCGGCAGCGCTCCCGTCCACGCGGGGCCCCCTGACCTGGACCACTCCGAACCGCCGCTCCCTGGCCCGCCCCGCCCAACTCCGACCCGCCCCTCTGCTTCGATGCCGCCTGCGCCCGCCCCCCAACCCACCGTGCCCTGCTTACCTTTAGGTCGGGCGTGTCCGCCCACAGGGGGATCCTGGACGGAATGAAAAAACAAACTAAAACATTGTCAAAGAAATACTAGAGAAATCGTCCCCTGACTATGTTTTACTATTTTGGAACATTCCTCCTGTAGAGGGACATGCCCGACTTAAGCTTTACTCTTCCATCCTGCCGACGCTGCCCGACCCACGCCCCCTGCGACCCCTCGCCGCCCCATCGACTTGTCTTCCCTGCTCCTCCCTGTGTCCTTCCATGTGCATTGGTGCCGGCGGCCTGGTGGGACTCTTTTGGGCCCCACACTGGGCAACCATCACAGGGGCCGTGGAGCCGTGGAGGGCAAGTCAGGGGAAGGCCTGGTGAGGCAGCGCAAGGGGGGGAAAGGGGCAGGGGGCAGAGCCAGAGGGATGGGCAGGGGGGAGGGGGAGGGGACAGGAGGGGTCAAACATGAAAACGCGACAGGGAGGGGAGAGGTGTCGCGCCAGCGAGGGATTCCCACCGAGTCCGGAGATCGACAACGTCTTGGACGCAGAGAGCCCCACATGTGCATCTCCGTTAGTGGCGCTTCCGTCTGACTGGAAAAATCGTTGCCTGTTGCGACTGCGCGAACCTTGGCGGCTCTCCCTGGGAAGGCCCATGTGCGATGCCTGCTGCACCAAAACGTTTTGGGGGCTCTGGAAGGAAAAAGGGGTCGGGGATGCCTGAACTTGAGCAGGGACCGACCGACCTGGCATTCTTATAGGCCTACCACGAATGAAACATTCTTAGAACACAGAAACTTTCTAATAACAAAAACAATGTTCTTAGAACATAAGCCCGATGTGTCAAAACAAGTCAGACTCAGCCAGACATGTTCTAAGAACAGTTCGTGTAAACCACAAGCGGTTCTTAGAACATTCTTTGGTGGGCCCATAGGCGAGCCAAGACGCTTCGCCACTGCCTGATAAACCAGCATGACGTGGGACTCGCTCGAAACGTCTTCACAATCTGCAGTGAAAGCGGAGGGGTCCCGGCCACGAAACGAGCGCCTCGGGAGACATCCCCGCTGTCGGGCCACGAACAGGCCCGTGCAACACCCCCTGGTGTACCCTTTTTCTGAGGTATTGAAATCCGCGCCCCGCTCCAGACATCATCACGACCTCCCCTGAACGCGCCGAAACCCACGCCACCAAACAGGCAAACCGCCCAAGACATCCCCGCAGTCTGGGCGGCAACTGGCCCGTGCAATACCCCCTGGCAGATTCCCCTTGGAATGCTGAAACCAGCACCTCGCTCGAGACATCTTCACGATCTGTTCTAAAGCTCCGACGGCCAAGCCACCTAGCAGACAAACCGCCTGAGACATCCCCACAACTCGGGCGCGGAAGAGCCCGTGCGATGCCCCATTGGCGGCTCCCCCACGGCCGCTGAGGCCAGCGCCTTGCTCGAGACACCCCCGCAATCTGCTCTGAAAGCGCCGACGTACACGCCACCAATCAGACACACCCCTGAGACATCCCCGCAAACTGGGCGCGAACGGGTCCGTGGAATATCCCCTTGGCAGCTCCCCCCCCTTCGTGTGCTCAGGCCAGCGCCCCGCTCGAGACACCCCGGCAATCTGTTCTGAAAACACCGACATCCACGACTGAAACATCCCGAACATCGGGGCGCTAACGGGCCCGTGCAATACTACCTGGCGGCCCCCCTGCGCTGGAACCAGCGCCTCGCTCGAGACATCCTCACAGATTGAATGCGAGGCGGTCCTGAGTGTGAGTGGTTTGTGCAGTGAGTCCGAGTCTGAATGATATGAGCATGGGTGTATCTAAATCCGAGTGAGCTTGAATGTGGAGTCTGAATACGAGTGGATCTGAGTAAGATTCTGAATGTGAGCCTGACTGTGGGTCCGAAAATGAGAATATCTAAAATTGTTTGCGACATACCCGCGCGCCCGAAGTCAATGCCAACGAACGAACCGCTTGGGCTGCCGAGCAGCCATCACAGTGCCCGATTGAGCGCTCGAGCAAGCGCTGCACCCGAGGACCGCGGTGGCGAGGCCGCGCAGGGAGACCTCGTCGAAGCTGGCGAAGCCTTCCGCGCGCCATCCCGCCTCGCCCCAAGCGGGCGCGACGATGGAAACCAGCTCGGCCAGGCCGAACCGCCCGACGTCCCCCGCCGCGGGCCGCGCGGCCACCGCCGCCCCGTCCGCCGCCGTCGCCACTGGAGACTGTAGCCGCAAAGGGGCCCCCCATCCTGGCTCGGGGCCTCCACCTCGGGGGGGGGGGCCGCTTGGCGCCGCTGCCGCAGCCGCACCGCGGTCCGCGACAAGGGGCCTCCGACCCAGCCCGCCCCAGTCCACGCCGACGCGTCACTCCCTCCCTTGCCGCCGAGCCCAGCTCCAGGCGACTCACAAGACGAGCGTGCACGAGCAGCGCCGCCGCCAGCAGCCGCCTCACCAGATCCGCCGTGGCCATGGCGAGCTGGGAGGGCAGCGTCGGCCCACGCAACTTGAGCAGAGACCGACCGCCCAGGCATTCCTATAGGCCTACCACGGCATGTTCTTAGAACCCAAAAATGTTATAAGAACCAAGACGCTTATCTTAGAACATAAACCCGATGTGATAAAGCAAGTCCGGCTCAGCCAGAAACGTTCTAAGAACAGTTCGTGCAAACCACAGAAAGGCTCTTGGAACATTCTTTGGTGGCCTATAGGCGAGCAGGGACGCTTCGCCACTGCTTGACCGTCGTCGAACGACTCCCTCATACTCCCTGCCGGCGGCGAGGCGGGGCGCGAGTACGACGAGAGACAAGGCGGCAGGTGCAAGGCACGGGCACCGCCGCCGCCACATCCCAGGGCCACCGCCCACGTCCTCCGTCCTCTCCAGGTCCTCGCCCTCTCCACTTTCGTCGGCAGGAGCATCTACGATTAGGTCGGGCATGTTCCCCCTGCAAGCGGATTTTGGACGAACAATGAAAAATATGAATTACCCTGTGACGTACCCAACCCATTTGTATCAATGGAAACGAGGAGTTGGCCGAAACTTGTATGGACAATCGACTTGATGTGTGGGCTACTTGGGAGGCGTCACTGTGCTGGGCCCCGCAAGCAGGCCTCGAAAGTGGCGACAGTTTCACAAATCGCAGCCCCCCAGGGATGGCGAGGTCTAATTTGAATCTGCGTGTGGCGTCACTGTGCTGGGCCCCCCAGCAGGCCTCGAAAGTGGCGACAGTTTCACAGATCGCAGCCCCCCAGGGATGGCGAGGTTTTGAATCCGCCGTGGGTACCCAGTGCTGGGCCCCCCAGCAGGCCTCGAAAGTGGCGACAGTTTCACAATCGCAGCCCCCCAGGGATGGCGAGGTCTAATTTGAATCTGCGTGTGGCGTCACTGTGCTGGGCCCCCCAGCAGGCCTCGAAAGTGGCGACAGTTTCACAGATCGCAGCCCCCCAGGGATGGCGAGGTCTAATTTGAATCCGCGGTGCGTACCCACTGTGCTGGGCCCCCCAGCAGGCCTCGAAAGTGGCGACAGTTTCACAGATCGCAGCCCCCCAGGGATGGCGAGGTCCCATTTGAGTCCGCCGTGGGTACCCACTGTGCTGGGCCCCCCAGCAGGCCTCGAAAGTGGCGACAGTTTCACAGATCGCAGCCCCCCAGGGATGGCGAGGTCCCATTTGAATCCGCCGTGGGTACCCACTGTGCTGGGCCCCCCAGCAGGCCTCGAAAGTGGCGACAGTTTCACAGATCGCAGCCCCCCAGGGATGGCGAGGTCTAATTTGAGTCCGCCGTGGGTACCCACTGTGCTGGGCCCCCCAGCAGGCCTCGAAAGTGGCGACAGTTTCACAGATCGCAGCCCCCCAGGGATGGCGAGGTCCCATTTGAATCCGCCGTGGGTACCCACTGTGCTGGGCCCCCCAGCAGGCCTCGAAAGTGGCGACAGTTTCACAGATCGCAGCCCCCCAGGATGGCGAGGTGTAATTTCAGTCCGCGGTGTGTACCCACTGTGCTGGGCCCCCCAGCAGGCCTCGAAAGTGGCGACAGTTTCACAGATCGCAGCCCCCCAGGGATGGCGAGGCCTAATTTGAATCCGCCGTGGGTACCCACTGTGCTGGGCCCCCCAGCAGGCCTCGAAAGTGGCGACAGTTTCACAGATCGCAGCCCCCCAGGGATGGCGAGGTCCCATTTGAGTCCGCCGTGGGTACCCACTGTGCTGGGCCCCCCAGCAGGCTGGGCCCCCCAGCAGGCCTCGAAAGTGGCGACAGTTTCACAGATCGCAGCCCCCCAGGGATGGCGAGGTCCCATTTGAATCCGCCGTGGGTACCCACTGTGCTGGGCCCCCCAGCAGGCCTCGAAAGTGGCGACAGTTTCACAGATCGCAGCCCCCCGGGATGGCGAGGTCCCATTTGAATCCGCCGTGGGTACCCACTGTGCTGGGCCCCCCAGCAGGCCTCGAAAGTGGCGACAGTTTCACAGATCGCAGCCCCCCAGGGATGGCGAGGCCTAATTTGAATCCGCCGTGCGTACCCACTGTGCTGGGCCCCCCAGCAGGCCTCGAAAGTGGCGACAGTTTCACAGATCGCAGCCCCCCAGGGATGGCGAGGTCCCAATTTGAATCCGCCGTGGGTACCCACTGTGCTGGGCCCCCCAGCAGCCTCGAAAGTGGCGACAGTTTCACAGATCGCAGCCACCCAGGGATGGCGAGGTCCCATTTGAATCCGCCGTGGGTACCCACTGTGCTGGGCCCCCCAGCAGGCCTCGAAAGTGGCGACAGTTTCACAGATCGCAGCCCCCCAGGGATGGCGAGGTCCCATTTGAATCCACCGTGGGTGCCCACTGTGCTGGGCCCCCCAACAGCCCTCGAAAGTGGCGACAGTTTCACAGATCGCAGCCCCCCAGCTGGCACGCAGCGACGAGCGAGGTCAAAGGCAGGGGGGAAGATAGGGACGGGAAGGAAGGAAGGAAGGAAGGTTCGCGCGAGCAGTGCTCTATTCAAAACGAGAACCCAACGCAGGAGGGTTGGGAAAAA